GGAGGGAATTGGTGACCTGTCCTAAAATACCTCACTCCCATCTAAAGCCCTCTTTATTTTTGATGCTTTGACATAATCTCAGAGAAAGACTATTAATTTGATTAAAAGTGATTTTAAAAAGTGATTTAAGATGAATTCATAAATAAAATACTCTCACCTCTGGCAGGGAGGGCAAAGGGCTTTGCATGTCTGGCCTGGGAAGTCCTGACACATTCTGGGACTCTAAGAAGGGCAGACTAGAGAAATAAACAAACCGTTCAGGCCAGCTTTTCAAAATCCGCCAATGTGGAATTCCCAGTCCAAGGCTTCTGACTTCATTTTGGGCAACCAGGGTGGAGGGGACAACCTTGAGGTGGGATGACAGGGGTTAGGTTTGCAAATGACCTAAGGTGGATAAATATTTGTAAAACACTTTGAGAATTAACGAGCTACACAAGCACCCCTACTAAAGAAATGGCCTCCATTCCGTCACTTAGGAAATTTTTCAGGGGAGCTAATATCTGAGGCCCAAGACAAAATGTGGCCTAAAGAAGCAGGCCCTACACGCAGGCTTGTGGCCAGGCTCTGGGTGGCAGAAGATTCCATAAAGAACGCTCTATGGTGAGTCTGTCCCGAGAGAGAGATTGCTGAACTCTTGATTTCTGCCATAACTAAGTGGCCCCTTCTCCACTGGTGAGCCCACCTGTGGGGTCTCTCTCTGAGGGCCAGGTGATCGACTCCATTCTGGCTGAAGCCATTGGACCCCCAGAATAACTGCAAGGACTAAAGGGCCACTGTGGGAGGCCGTCACCCCCACCTTCCGAGGCCAGAGTTGACAATATCCAACCCTTGGGAGAGTGGGAGGATGGCGGCTGTCGGCTTGGCCTCACTCTCTTTGTCTAAGACAGGCACCCTAACCACAAAAACAACTCCTGCAATTGGCACCGCTTCTGTCACCATGGCAACCAGTGCTTCTAGAAAGGCTAACGCATCGGTTTGGGACTCACAGCCAAATGAAGATTTCCGCAGCTCAGTGTGCTTCTCCCTCATCCCCGACCCCTCCTCTGGGACCGTCCAGAGCGGAGCCCGGAGCGGCTGGATGACTACAGAACCAAGCAGGCCCACAGCTGCTGGCTTCCGCCCAAGGCGTGGCTGCACACCAAGGCCCCAAGCGCTGAGACAGGTGAGCCCCCAAAGGTGTCCACTGAGTTTCCATAGCAACGGAATATTTGTCGGACCGAGGAATCCACGAGGGGACGGGGAAGCAGGAAGGGTAGTTTTCCATTCCTGTTATGGAAGCAGCTGAATCAGTAAGCATTGAGGTCTCACAAAGCCAGACAAGGGTGAGCTGGGTTCTGCTCACAAGGGTCAGTGGACGGGAGATGCTAGTGGTGGACACTGGCAGACGGGAGGAGAAAAGCATTAAGGGCCTCTCCTACCCAAAATTGCCACAGTGACCAGATGATGCTGAAGTGTAGGTGTACTTGAAACCGTGGAACCTTCCCACCTCCCAACCTGACACCCATAGCCCCTCAAACATCCACTTAGCTTGATTCAATAGGCCAGTCTCCGAACTCCCCTCAAAAACAATGAGCAACATTCAAGCCCAGCCTCTAGACCCTAGATGTGAAGGATTGGCAAGTTCATGAAGAGCAGGTTTGGTCTCAACTTTGGCCTCTTGGACACGTCTTTGGCCGCGTCAGTCTCATAGGCTGGGTGAGATATCTGTTCCTGACTGTCTGAGTCAGTAACAATTTGCAGTGAGGGCCTATTCTGCAAACTAAAAGAGACTGGAGATGGGCTATTAGCTCAGCTCTTTTCATGTGGAATTACTTCTACTGGCACTAATACGCCGTCATTTGAAAGCCTTAACCCAAACGGACGGGCGTCTGCCCCAAGCCAAAGCTGCCTGGACTGAGGCAGCGCTCTCCATGTGCTAGCTATTACCAGGTTGTTTGGTCCTGTCCCCAGTCGGCATTTGTTGCCGCGCACTGAGAAACTGCTGTCAGGAAATGTTCTTTTCTAAATTACATAATTAGGGTATTGGGGAGTGTAGTGAAGGCAGATTAGGGGGGCATCACTTGTTCTTACTGCAAACTATGATTCAAAGCACATAAGTAAACACTTAAACTATGTGAATGGTTTAATATTGATTAAACAATGATCTCTGAGACCAAACTCTAGCATGGTAGGTGGAAGGAGCTTGGAAAAGGAGAAACAAAGAGTCTGCTGAATAGTGAGCACTGATTTACAGAGAAGTGTGGACTTTGACCTGACAGATCAAAATCAAGATTTTGGAATGATTACCTACAATAAAGTCCGAGGGTCCCGCCCCTGCGAGCTGATGGTAGGGCTGGGGGCTAAATGGTCAGGGTCAGGGGTCAAGTTCTTCCCTCAGAAAGACCAGCTTCTCACTCACACCCACTTCCAGAAACGGAGACTCAGGCAAAGTGCCGGCTCAAATTGCGTTTCATTTATTGTTTCTAACTACGGGCCACGGACTTCAACTTGATTAGAAAATTGTGCTGACGCTTCCTGTGAAGTGTATCCCGAGCCCTCCAGAGAAACTGCAGAAGGGAGTTTTCTGCAGGCACCCGCGCCCCCTGAATGGCATACCCACTGCCGGCAGGGCCCTTGGCTACACATGTGCCCAGATGCCCGGGCAGGTGGAAGGGCCGCCCTCGAGACATCAGCCCCGGGCAGGAGACCCGGTGAAGGAACCCCCGGCGACCAGTGCAGGTCCTCAGACTCCCTGACGTGGGGCAGGCAGGCCCTGCAGGGTGGGGCTCAGAGAACAGCTCCCCACTCACTTCCGGGGACCTTCCACCCAGTTAGTCACAGGGGCTCTGCCGAGGGGAAGCCCAGAGGTGCCTCTGGGCTCATGTGCAGGCAGATCTCAGCAGCCTGGCATCTCCCTTCCCCTGGCCCATCTTCTGTGTTTGCTCTCCTCCCCTCTCCTCATCCGAATTCAGGGCAGGAGAGGGCCAGTGGAGTAGGGAGAAGGCTACCAGAGCATAAAAATGCCAGTAATAAAATCTAGCCTGTTTTTAAAAGCTTACCCTGCACTAAGCATTGTAAACTCACTATTCATCACACCAAGTGATTACAACAGCCCTCTGTGGTAGGTTTTGTTATCTACCCCTGTTTTGTAAATGACAAAAAAATATATGGCACAAGAAGGGCGATTTGCCCAAGATCACACAGTAATTCTATAAATTTTACTCTATTTAACAAACACAGAGCTCTTTCTTTGTGCCAGCTGCTGTTCTAGATGTGTTATAAATATTAAATGTGATTAAATGTGCAGTGCAACCTTGAGGAACACGTACTGTCAATCCCCATTTTGAAAAGAACAAACTGAGGCACAGAGAGGTGAAGTTACTTGCCCCAGCTTGCCCAGCCAATACGTGACTAAGCCAAGATTCTACTGTGGGCAACCTGACTCCAAAGCCCAACTTCCTAACCTCTCCAAAGAGCTGAGGGCAGGTCCTTAACAAAAGAAGGAAACTTGCCCTTCTGCAACACGCCAAGAGGCTCGGCGAGAAGGAACAGCGCTGTCACATGCTGACGTGGAGGGCATGCGAGTCTGAGAGGCTGGAGGCCTGGTCCAGGACCAGCTCTGCTTTGTGGTGATGAGGGAAGCACCACCCAGCCCCTCTGAGGCCTCACTTACCACCTGCAACTTGAGGTGATGAGAGCCCAGGGACCCTCTAAGGTCTCAATCTCAGCCTCCAGGGGACTAACAGGGTTCAGGTAAGTCTAGGGAGTTGGGGAGGGCTAGGGAGACTGTCGTCCTCCTTCCCAGCCCTCCTCTCCACTCCCACCACCACCACCCCCCAACACACACACACCTTGAGCCAGGCCTGGGGGGATCTCTACTGGGGAATCCATAATCTCCCCATCCTCCTTCCCATCTGCACAGATGCTTGGGTTCCTAATATATGACCACTTCCAACAAATGTTCTCTCCTCTGCCAGTGCTCTGTGGAACCAATAGATGCAGGATGCAGAAGGGGGTACAAAGTGAAAATCCTGCAAAGATTAGTTTCTTTTCATTTATGTGTTCAAAATATGGCCAAAGAGTACAAATAAACACATCCCTCCCACCCACTGCCGTAAACAGCTCAAGTGCTGTGCATGGAGAACCCATCAGGGCGCCTGGGACGAAGTGCTCCAGCTCAGCCACAGCCCCGCCGGGGACCTAAGAGCCTGTCCGGGGACCTGAAAGCCCGTGGCCTTCCTGTGCTCGGGGCCGGGCGGGCAGCTGGCCCCAGGGTCATCTGAGTTGCCTGTGGCTCATCCTTCAGCAATCGCTGTCAGCTGGGCTGGGCCAGAGGTGTGGGTTCGCTGCCATACACAGCTAATGCTCACTGTTTACAGACTCCATCTATACCATTCACCTATTTGCTGAAACTGATTAGTAACCTCCCTGAATCAAGCCCTGTGGGACTGGCATGAGCACATGTAGACATGTGGAGAACGGTGAAATTTGTGCATTCCCGGACGTGCACCGTCCCGGGTGAGGCGGGACATGGTGACACTCCGCCTGGTTGTTTCAGCTCTTACACTCAGACAAGCCTCCTTTCCGCAGTCAACATAGTGCCTCGTTGGCCACATCTTTGTGCTCTTTGTTGGTGATTTTACCACTGAAAACGGCCCCCAGGTGCCATGCGGACGTGCCATCCAGCACACCTAAGGGCAAGAATACTGCGATACGCTTTATAGAGACCATCCCTGTACTAAATAAGCTTTGTTCAGGCGTGAGTGTGCTACTGAGTTTGGTGGTGGTGGTTTAGTCACTAAGTCGTCTGCACCTCTTGCGATCCCATGGACTGTAGCCCATCAGGCTCCTCTGTCCATGGGATTTTCCAGGAAGGAATACTGGAGTGGATCCCCTCCTTCTCCAGGGGATCGTCCCCACCCAGGGATCGAACTCCAGTCTCCTGCATTGCAGGCAGATTATTTACTGACTGAGCCACCAGAGAAACCCTACTATTGAGTTTAGTACTCATCAATTAAATATGCATATATTACAGAAGGTGTCTTTATACAGAAACTCACATAGGACAAGATTAGGTATCGCTCAGCTGACGAGTGTGTTGTGACTGAGGTTTGCAGGAGCCAAACTCTGTACCTCCCTTAAAAGCACAGTTCAGTATTTCCTCTTTCTGTGTCATGGTGACTTTCTAGAACACAACCACTCAGAAATAATGAGAACAACTGGAGTTTCCTTCCTACTGAAGGTGCCGGGGCCTATCAGAGGAGCCGAGATTAAAGAGATGCAGAGCCAACAGCTGATGTCAGCTACTCTTCCTGCAGCACCGCCTCCCCAGAACAGGGCAGGCCTGTTACCTCATAGAACCTTGTCCGTGTCCTTAATAATACTGTTTAAAACTGTAATAATGGCCACTAACAGCAACTGAATGTTTACAGGGAGGCAGGCACACATTACTGACTTCACATTTACCACATAGTAGGCAACCCACTCCAGTACTCTTGCCTGGAAAATTCCATGGGAGGAGCCTGGTAGGCTACAGTCCGTGGAGTCGCAAAGAATCAGACACGACTGAGTGACTTTACTACTTTTACTTTTACCTCGTCTGAGGGTATATAAAGAAGAGAGGGATACAAGAGGGCATCACATAGTACCCTCTTGTGCCCTGTGAACACAGGTGACCTCAGGCGCCCTGCCTGATCTCACTTGCACTCCATAGCAAGTGGTCAGCGCACGCAGTGTCCCCTCCTCAAGGGGACAGCTGGAAAAGCCAAGCTCCAAGGATTCAGAGACCATTCTCCAGCTCTGGGGTACACAGTGCTGAATAAAGGAACCAGGGACTCACAGCCCAGCCTTGAGAGAGTGGCCTGAGAGGGCAGCCAGCGTGTCCCCAAGCTGTGCCCTAAGTCTGCCACCACCACGCCCTAGGCCACTGCAGGGCAGGGCCTCCTCTCTGTTCACGTGCATCACATCACATCATGCTACTGACTTCCTCAACCTTGTGTGATGGACAGGCAGCTCGCCCTCTCCAGCCCAGCCTGGCATGGTGGGAGAGCCCAGAGGCCCAGACTGAATGTCCCATCTTAGCCACAGCACTCATCCCAGCTGGGATGTGAAAGCCTGAGGATGGTGCTGCCTGGCACCCATGTGGCCCAAGGCCACTGTCAGCCGCCCTAAGTGACCCTGAGCAAACAACTCACTTCAACCTCTGGTTTTTCCCATCTATAAAGAAAAGGGAATAATGACCCTTATGCTTTCAAGCTTTCACATCTACTATGTCACAATTCTAGGAGACAAACAGGCAGGGCTGGTAAGGGGCACAAAGATAGTAATTGTTACTGCTACAGATAAAATTAGATGAGTAAATAATACTCCCTGGACTGTAAAAAGAAACAAAGTAGCTGCAAGGATCATCCCATTCTTTACATTTTTCATTAAAGCAGGATAGGTTGGGCTCCTCAAAGGGAAAAACCAGAGTCTCAGAATATTCCTGCTACTGAGCTCCCCATGGAAGGAGGCATACAAGGCATTCACTGACTAGTCAGGGGTGCTGATTACCTCCAGGATACTGACAGTGCTTCTCACGGGCAGCAACAGTGAGAAAGGCTCAGAAATAGCCCGCTAAGAGGTAAAGAGAGGGAACAACAGACTCTTCTTCAGCTGAGCATCAGAGAAGATATAAAAAGGGCTGAGTGGCAGGAGGAGGGCCAGGACAATTCTCTCCTCCTGCTGTGAGGTGGGAGCTGTGACCCTGCAGTCCCAATAGCCCCACCTGCCTCTCGGCTGCCCCTGCCGGAAACTCCACGGGACCCGAGCCCAGACAGCAGGAGCCCAGGTAAGCCGCCCCAGGTGCAGAAGTGACCTTGGCTGCAGGAAGTCCTGTCTCCTGCTTGCAGCTAATTGCAGTCGCTGCAGAGGAGCCGACCTAATTACACAAAAATATGTGGCTCCCACATTCCTGGGCCACCACACAATCTCACACAGCTCGCAGGAGATGCAGCCCCCGACTCCTGCTCTGGCCCCAGCCCCTCACAGTTCTGCTGAGCCCGCAGAGATGGTCCCCTCTCCTGCAGCTCTCTAGGAGCTCTTTGGGGCTGCCCCAGCAGCAATTCCCTCCACTCTCCCTTGTCTGCCTCTGAGGCACTTAACTCTCATCTTTACCTAATGTAAATATTTAATCCTGCACATCTAGGCTCTGTCCATCACCTGCCTCTAGCCTGTTCTCTGCCCATCCAAATGGTCCTCCTGCAAGGCCCGGGAGTAACAGTAGGACTCTGAGGGGCTCCCTCACACTGCAGAGCTCCCCACACAGCCTGGCACCCCTCCTAACACTTAACCACCAGTGGGGGTGACAAATTGTACAACTCACAGTGATGCGGGCACTCTGAGCTTCAGTTTTCTTACCTGTCACATGGTGTTCACACTGCCTACTTTGCAGAGTTTTTTGGAGGATGAAATCTAACTTGGTGCCAGGTGTCTAATAGGTCTTCCATCAACATTTCCTGAATTGAACTGTGAGCCTCATACCAACGGAGCATTAACAGTAGACCAAGAGCTTGTGCATCTAAGACAGCTCATCCATCCACAGGTAAGTATCTCTCCCTCCCTGTGCCCCTTCTAAGGGACTCCTGTGTCTGCCAGCTGCCCCTGCCTCTTGTGTGATGTAGGGTCAGGAGATGGTAGGCAGGGCAGAGGAAGGACAAAACTGGAGAAAGGCTTTGTTGGAGGGTGGGCATATCTACATCACCAAGAGTTGGGGCATGGGGAGCACAGAGGAAAGGAAAGCTAGTTAGACAGGGAAGTGCTGCTGGGCATACGGGCTCAAGTGTGCCTCTGGGGCACAAGACAGGGACCCCCACTGTTCAGCTCTCCTTCAAAAGACAATAAAGAGACAGCTTTCTAATTACTTCTGGGTGCCAGATCTTGCAGAGGCCCTGGGGCTATGAGGGTTATACACCCATTATCTTGTTAATGTGCACAACATCTCTGAGGCATATTCTCCATCCATCAGAAGAAGAAACCAAGGTTCACAAAGGTTAAGTTACTTGCCTGAGGTTACACAGCAACTGAGAGCCGGAGCCAGGTCCCCCTCCAGATCTGCTGTTTCCTGAGCCTGACCTCCAACCCACCACCCACATCACACAGCCTCTGCTCATCTCTCATTAACACTTTACTCAGGACAGCAGAAGGAGGGAGGTGCCAGAGCAACTCCTGCTCTGGTTCTTAGAGAAATGCTGCCTTATGGACCCACTCCCTCTAAGCAGCCCCCCTTCCCTAAGCAAGGAGAACTGTGCCCTGCCCAAGAGGGCTAGAGTGCTAGGTGGGCTTCTGGGAGGAGGTGATCTCTGTCCACCTGCAATCATGAGCAAGTCTTAAGATGGGGATCTGGCAGAGAAAGCAAAGACGTAAAATGAGAATGCATAGGTTGCCACTGGAGAAGACGCAGTACCGTGGACCCGGCCACGAAGGGAACAAGCAGGCCGAGATGCCCAGCGCACAGCTGGCAACCCAAGCGCAGGCCCACCTCAAAGGGCCCAAGTGCCCTGGTGAGAAGTCAGGCCGTCCTTCCAGAGGCAGCAGGGAGGGACGTGAGGGAAGCTGGCAATCAGGAAGCAGGCTGGTGAGAGCGAAATAAGCAGAGCTGGGCAGGGGCCTGCCTCCTCCTCGAGCTGAGGTCTGCGTATTAAGGGCACCTCTGACTCCCTCTCACCCAGAACCCTCCAGCCTCTGCCCAGGAAGGACAGTGCAGAGCACAGCTTCTGAATCCAGAGAAAGGTTCTTTTCAGCCTTTCGAGAGACTCATCCCAGAGCAGATCCAGAAGGGATGTCTCAGAGTAGGGAGGGGGGCCACGAGGTGCCCCACACCCCATCTTCCACACCACTATGCAGGGGAGCCCCACACCTGTGCATCTGCCACAGACCTGGCCTCCCTGAGAAACACTCCAGCACTGCTAGAGGTCACCCATCAGCCCCCTTCTGACACCTTCCCACACCCCCATCCACACTGCAGGCGCTTCCAACCTCTCTCCCCGCCTCCCCTGCCGAATCCCGGCTTCTCCTTCAGGCCTCAGCCTGGATGCAATCTCCTTCTCTAATGCTGCCCTCCTCCGTGTTCCCACAGCTCTCGGCGCTTCTGCTCACAGTCTGCGCTTGATAAACACCAGCTGAAGGAGCAACCTCACAGACACCATTTCCTGACCTCTGGACGTGACTCAGCCCCCGCAGCACAAGGCCCACCATCTCCTGCTTCTCTGGGGCCTGCCTGGGCCTCGCACACACCGCACTGCACGCAGCAGTAAAGACTCAGCATGGGCCTCCGCACGCTGCATGCGCAAGTTAAAAGAATAAGATGTTCGTTTATTTTCCTCTAGCAGAGCAGAAGAGAGATTTAAATATTTGATACCTGGTATCGGAGAGAATAAAGGGAAGCAAACACTCTTGCTACCGGGAGGAAGGTAAATTAGTCCTAACTTTTTGGAAGGCAACTTAGCAAAAGGTAGCAAAAGCCTGAAAAACAGATACCTCAGATATCTTTTTGAGAAATTAAATTTCTAAGCATTTATTCTTAGGGAAACAGCTGTCTGAGGGAAGCTCATATTAACATAAGGAGCTTCATCACAGTGTGGTTAGTGATGGCTGACACCTATACAACCACATGAGACAGTGGTTTTGAAAACTGGAGTACATTTGTACCACAGGCCCTCCTCACAAATGATGGTGTAGAATGTAAAAGGCTATCATGATATACTGAAGTATACACACAGCAATACACACCATGATAGATTGGTAAGTGAGAACAAGTTACAAAAATGGACCATACTATTTTATAAGTGGAGAAAAACATATACAGAGGGAACAAAAGAAAAGATGAGAAGACTCCAAAATGTTAACTCTAGTTTTTCTAAATGTAGCCTATAGGACTTATGTAGAATAACACTATCCATTATTCAGTGATAGAGCTGCTGATCAGGAGTTAAGACGGGAAAAGCCCAATAATATCTTCTGTCCCACAACACATACACAGGAGGTGGCACCAGGCTTGCCTCCCACCCAGACAAGCCAGGTCACCAGCGACCAACCCAAGGCTTGTTTTGATCCTCAACTGAATCTGTTCACTAAGTAACAGAAAACAATACACCCCAAATGTTGTTACGCTTCCCCGGCGGCTCAGCGGTAAACAATCCACCTGCCAATGCAAGCAATGCGGGAGACATGGGTTCAATCTCTGGGTTGCAGAGATATCCTGGAGTAGGAAATGACAACCCACTCCAGTATTCTTGCCTGGAAAATCGCATGGATAAAGGAGTTTAGCGGGCTACAGTCCATGGAGTCGCAGAAAGTCAGGCATGACTTAGTGACTGAACAACAACAGAAAGCATCACATCCCAGTACGGATACCTAATGGCCAGCAGCCTATGCCCCTTACAGGAAGTGCCCAGCAACTCCATGCAAGAGGGGATGACAGACACCTGCCCTCTGGACGGTGGGTGCTGGTCTCAGTATCCACCAGAGTCATGTGACAACAAAGATGATGTATATGGTGGAACCAGCCCAGGGTGTAACCCAGCCAGCAGCAGCATCAATCTATTAATTGCAGCATTAATTCACTTGGGAGCTGATGACTTCATTCGTCACACTGGGGCCCTGTAAGCACCTCCCTTGGGTCTTCCTCATTCTCTCAAAGTAGGGCACAGGAGACATGGAGTGGGTGTTGGCCCAGGCTGCTAGCCCAGCCAAGCCCAGCAACAGGGAGGGAATGGACAGTGATGCAATGCTGACTCCATGCCAGGCACAATGGTTGGCACCTCAGACATGAACAACCCTCAGAGCAGATCAGCAGGGAGATGTGGGAATCCCAGTGTCTTCACCCATAAACTGGGGATGTGAGGCAACGCCATGACTTTCTCAGGCTCACACAACTAAGAAGAGTCCGAGCAGAGATTTGAACTGATATCCCTGTCTCTTCCATGACCCCCACACCTCCAAGATGGCAGGACTCAGATTGCCAACCACACGACCCACACCCCAGAGCTCAAGGAGCCCATGGCAGTGGAATCAAAGCGAGGTGAAGCGCGCGAACCCAGGGCCAGTTCCTCCCTCCTCACCTTGCCCTTGCTCGTAAGTGGAAGAGCCTGGGGCTGCCTCTCGGCCATCTTGCTATCGCAGATAAAGGGGAAAATGATTGAGAAAGTGCTCACCTGGCCCAGAGGCTGCCCGTGGTCTGGTTGCATCACAGCACACTGGTCCTGTCCAAACTATCACGGAGCAGCTCGGGTGCTGCTGGGAGAGCCTGGGCCCCCGCTATTAGGGTGGGCCTGTGTGGGTGGTGCTAGGCAAGGGAGAGAGAAAAGGGGGGCCCACCGTGCAGGTCTCTGTTGTCGAAACCACGAAGCAAAATATTTTCATTCATGAGTTCATCCAGCCTAAACATGCATCTAATCCCCAGGAACTGGCAGTTCAAAACGGCTCCCAGGCGGAAGAAAGACGGCGCTCAGTTCAAAGGCGAAAGGAGCCAGGCTTTACCGCTTATCACCCAGTGACCATCAGCAGAGTGCCTGGGCTCACCAAGCTCCAGGCCAGCCAGGGAGGAAGCTTCTTAAAGGCGCCAGGGTCCCAGCACCTTCGGCCCTCAGTCTGCCCACCCTCCTCCTCAACTGGGCCCTGGGACAGAAGGAGAAGGGGCCTTACTGCTCGGTTGCTGGGTGCAGATTCCCTCTCAAGATGGGTCTGAATTTGACACAGAAGTAGCGGCCGTCGTCTAGGGTAGGGGAGGGGGGACACAAATGGGGCTAGATACACCTTCCGCCCAAGCAGACTGCTGGTTTCTGCCAGGAAGGGTCTTCAGACAGCCAGCGACCATGGAGAAAGGCAGGAGGAGGGAGGCCTGGACTCTACACTGCTGTGCTCCGCACCAGCTGGGAACAAGCAAGGGTCAGCATCCTCGCCTCTCCCCGCAAGGTTGGCTGGGAGTTCCAGGGGGCAGGCTTGGGCTCCTCTGGCAGGGCTGGCCAGGTCCTCTACCTCGAAGGCAAGTTGGCTATAGTCATGGAGCTCTCCAAAGATGCTTCCTGGACAGAGAGTGTTATACAATCCAGAATTTGTCATCTCTTCTAGGAAACTAGGTTGCCTTGGGGGTGGGGGGAGGAAAGCAATCCACCCTATGGCCCCTGCTTGACCAATACTTTCAAGAAAATTATTTGGTACAGCAAGCCAAGTCCTTGAAAAACTAATTTTGCATGACACCACACCCATTTTTCCCTTGGGGGTCTGTGTGCATGCGTGCTAACTCGCCTCAGTTGAATCCAACTCTTTGGGAGCCCATGGACTATGCTGCTGCTGCTGCTGCTGCTAAGTCGCTTCAGTCGTGTCCGACTCTGCGTGAACCCATAGATGACAGCCCACCAGGCTCCGCCGTCCCTGGGATTCTCCAGGCAAGAACACTGGAGTGGGCTGCCATTTCCTTCTCCGTGGACTATAGCCCATCAGTATCCTCTGTCCATGGAATTCTCGAGGCAAGAATACTGGAGTGGGTTGCCGTTTCCTTCTCCAGGGGATCTTTCCAACCCAGGGATTGAACACACGTCTCTTAAGTCTCCTGCATTAGCAGGTGGGTTCTTTACCTCTGGTGTTAGATAGCATCACTTCCCTGGTGGCTCAGATGGTAAAGAATCTGCCTGCAATGCGGGAGACCTGGGTTCAATTCCTGGGTTGGGAAGATTCCCTAGAGGAGGGCATGGAAACCCATCCCACTATTCTTGCCTGGAGAATCCCTATGGACAGAGGAGCCTGGCAGGCTAAAGTCCATAGGGCCGCAAAGGGTTGGACATGACTGAGCGACTAAGTACATCAATCCCTTCCACTATTGGTTTAAAATTCAGCATTCAAAAATGTAAGATCATGGCATTCAGACTCATCACTTCATGGCAAATAGATGGGGAAAATATGGAAGCAGTGACAGATTTTCTGGGGCTGCAAAATCACTGCCAGTTGTGACTATACCCATGAAATTAAAAGATGCTTGCTCCTTGGAAGAAAAACTATGACCAACCTGCTCAGCATATTAAAAAGCAGAGAAATCACTTTGTCGACAAAAGTCCATATAGTCAAAGCTGTGATTTTTCCAGCAGTCATGTGTGGATGTGAGAGTTGGACCATAAAGAAGGTTGAGCACCAAAGAATTGATGCTTTCGAACTGTGGGGCTGCAGAAGACTCTTGAGAATCCCTTGGACAGCAAGGAGATCAAACTAGTCAATCCTAAAGGAAATCAGTCCTGAATACTCACTCGAAGGACTGATGCTGAAGCTCCAATACTTCAGCCACGTGATGTGAAGAATCAACTTATTGGAAAAGACCCTGATGCTGGGGAATATTGAAGGCAAAAGGAAAAGAGGGTGGCAGAGGATGAGATGGTTAGATAGCATCACTGACTCAAAAGACGAGTTTGAGCAAATGCTGGGAGATAGTGAAGGACAGGGGAGCCTGGAGTGCTGCAGTCCATGGGGTCACAAAGAGTTGGGCAGGACATGGTGACTAACAACAAGAAGAATCCTTTCCAAGCTTACTAGCAGTGCTACCAGATTTTATGGTGAGAAACTAAAGCACCTAGACTGGACATGCAATTTCCAGCTGGAGAGACTTCTGCAGTCCTGTTTCCTGCCTTCCAGGCTTGCGACCCTCAGACTGCAGCTTTTTCCCTGGGCCTCCTGTCTTTCCCATGGAGAGACAGGGAGGGTCCCAGAGAACCACAGGTGACTGAACCCCAGTGTTCACTGCACCCACGTGCCAGGCATTTCCCAACATCTCTGCTAATCCTCCCCCTGCAAGGTAAAGTCCCATTTTACAGGTAAGGAACCTGAAGTTCAGTGGGATGAAGCAACATGTCCCAGATCACATAGGTAATAAATGGAAACATCAGGACAGAACCCAGAACTCCAAAAGCTAAGTGAGCCTAGAGACAAGATCCAGGCAAGGCCAGGACTTGCTTTCTTGCACAAAGTCCTACCCAATGGCTGTCTGTTCTCATGCAGCCAGAGAACATCAGGGACCTCCAGGAAACAGGTCTCGAGCCCCAGGGATGGTACTGCGAGAGCCAACCCTGGGTCTGCAGGTGGCCCGCTCACCTCCTGCATCCTCTCCCACCCTGAGCAATCCAGTTTCTCCAACTTTCTTAGTGGAAAATACTCTAAATTTGGAACCAGAAAGAACTCTTGGCTCTAGGCCCAGTTCTGACGGTGATCTCGAAGAAGTCATTTCGCCCACATCAGGCTGAGTTTGCTCACCTGAGAGATGGAGATGACCATTGTGTTGGCCCTGCCACCTCATGATGTTGCTGAAAACACTCTGCCACAGAATGGGACAAGACTGTGGCTTGGATGTGGGCTTCAGTTCAGCTGCTGGAGTTTCAGACTATGCCTTCAGATCCCTCTCACCCCTCAGATCAGGGTGGCAATGCTCCCCAGGTACAACCCAGGGCTCACCTCCTCTCCCATGAGAGTCCCCCCAAAAGCATGACACC